CTCCTCTCCCCTTCCTTTTCCTTCCCTTCCCTTCTCTTCCCTTCCCTTCCTTCCTCCTCCTTTCTTCTCTCTCTCTCATCATGAATCTACTGAAAGCAGAGAGAGATACCCACAAAAAAGAAAGCCATAATTAATAACGTATCTTAAAAATTTGTTCCTTGTCATGAAAAATAAGCTGGAAATTCTGAGATTACACTTAGTTTGTTCTGATTTTCTTAAATCTCCTCATAGCTCACAGTTTTTCTTGAATATAAAGGACTTTGTTTTGTTTTCTTCACTAAGATTTGAGAAGCCATTTGAAGCAGCAAGATTAAACATTCTTGTATTTAATCTCAAAAAGGCATATGCTAAGTTCCCAAAGTTATTGCTCATTAGATATGCTACATATATTTATATTAAATGAGTGTCTTATTATTTATTAGACGCATTCACTTCAGTTAGGTGACTGAAACCATACACTAAATTGCCAGTTTCAAGATTACTGCCCCCATTTTATAGAGAAACAAATGAAAGTTAGGATAGGTACACAGATTTGCTTGTCTCAGATCACACATCTGAGTTTCAGCAACAAAATTTGACTCTAGGTCTTCTAAATCTCAGTCCTACTTCAAATAAAACAGTTGTTTATGGTAAGTTTATATCCATAGATAAGAAATTTATATGTAATCTTAGTGATTCACTTTGTCCTTCAAGAAAGATGATGCCAAATTTGTTGTAGCCTTTTATAACATGTAATGTATATTACTACTGAAATATATTTCAGCAGTAATGTTCCTATATACAAATGGAAAATACCAGACCATTCTATGTTACTATAAAACATTTCATGAATCAAAGTTTCTCTGACTATAACACAGTTACTTTTCACAAATATTATCTTTCTCAAGCTCACTGGTCATCTTGACCTATTTCTTCCATGATTTGAGCATACAGTAATGTCAGAACATGGAATTTCCGTTATTTTGGGTGGGGGGATGACTGTGTGTTTCAGCTTATGCATGAAAGTTTCAAATTCATAAGAAATAGAATTTTTTCTCACAAAACCTAGGCCCAAAAGATGATATAATAAGCACTTAATCTAATAAAAATAATTAAATTTGCAATTACTGGTGAGATTTAAATATTTCAACAGAATCCAGATGAAATAATTTGTGGTTCACTTTGTATCATGATTGTTAGGGCATGGTTGAGTGTAAGCCAGGGATAGGGATAGTTGAGAAAGTGTTAAGAAAAGTGTTGAGAAAATGTTATTTCTATTCTAACTCAAAAAGAAAGGTTTGAGGATGGAAACTAAGGTCAATGATTGTGTCTTAGGAGCTACACCAAGTGCTCAGTGGTGGGGTGAGAAGATTAGTGAGACACAAATTATAAATTGTTCACAACAAACTTGGAAGGTGTAAAACCAAAAGAAGAAATGTAAATAAACCTGCCGTTCTCAGTGGATGAAGTCCTGCCGGTTTATAAAGAATTTTAAAGAGTGTTAAGATATCCCTTTGCACCCATCATCAAGAGTCTCTCATGAGAACCAACTTCAATCTGATTATTTCTGGTGCTTAAAAATAAAATGATCTAAAAGTAAGTATGTACATTTCCTCCTATAAATTAAGCAGAAAAATAATATTTGGATCTGATGTATAAGGATGCTATGGTTTAATCTAAACATTCAATTCAGTAAAATGCTAGGCATTATTTAGGTAAGGGGAGTGAGCTTATTATTGTTAAGGCCGACTATGAAGCATACGTATTGTTAGGTTTTTTACATACTCTGCCTTCTGCCATGATTGGAAGCTTCCTGAGACCACCCCTGTCCCCACCACCACAGGCAGAAGCTGCTGTGCTTCCTGTACAGCCTACAGAACCATGAGCCAAGTAAGTCTCTTTTCTTTAAAATTACCCAGTCTCAGGTATTTCTTTATAGTGGTGTGAGAATGGACTAATACAGATAAAATAAGATATGTAAATTGGTGGATAGTATATCTGTGGTGTTCAGTTTCAGAGGCAGGGTCATTAGGAGAACAAAACATCTAAAAAGCCTCCTCAGAAGGAAAATAAGGAAGAAAAAAAGTTGAAGATCATTGCTTTCATCCATGTCTACATGGTTAGGTAAGAACACAGAGTACCTTTGGTGCACGGAAAAGATAATTCAAGTGCAGAGGTTGGCCCATCACCTGTGAGCTCAGATCCAGTTAAATTGAGGGATTCTCCCTTCGCAGGATACTTCTAGGGTATTCAGTCAAATATGTTAGTGAACTGGTTGTAACCTGTGAAATATATTGCAAATGTAGAATAATAATTTTACTACTATTGAAGGTAGAAAAAGAATGAAGGCTATAGGCCAGACACGGTGGGGCTTACACCTGTAATTCCAGCACTTTGGGAGGCCAAGGTGGGAAGACCACTTGAACCCAAGAGTTTGAGACCAGCCTGGGCAACACGACAAAACCCTGTCTCTGCTAAAAACACAAAAATTAGCTAGGCATGGTGGTGCCTGCCTGTAGTCCCAGCGTCTCGGAAGGCTGAGGCAGGAGGATCGCTTGAGCTTCAGGAGGTCGAGGCTGTAGTGAGCCATGATCCTGCCACTGTACTTCAGCCTGGGTACAGAGTGGGATGCTGCCTCAGAAAAGAAAAAAAGAATGAAGGCTATAACTCCAAATATTTTGAAAATTAAAGCCATATTATTTAAGAATACTAAATGTTATGGAGTGAGAAGGAATTTAGTCCATATTGTTTTTCTGGCTGAGGTTCATTTTTAAATTCTTAAGAATGGCAGCTATCAGTTAGATGTGCCACAATTTCAAGAATAGTCTGAAAACATGAAGAGAGTATCAGACTAGGTATTAAAAAATTATGTCCTGATACTTGCTAGGTGGCCCAGAGAAGTAGTACTCGCGTTTCTTCATCTATGCTGTCAGGCAGGATAATTGTGTGGCCATTCTGTTACTGAAGGACAGAGGGTAGCTGAAGAGAAAATCATTGAATGGGGAATACCATGATCTAGTTTTGTGCTTGTGAAGCATCAGCTTGGCTTGGCTCCAGCGAAGCTCTGCCCCTTGGAAAAACCCAATCACTGCAGGGGTGATGTACTGTGATTAGCTTCTCAGTCAACAGAGACACAGCCTCAAAGGGAGGTGGTTGGAATGAGGCAAGTCTGCACATTGTGGAATTCTGTGCTATTTCAAAGTGGCACTCTGCCCTGTTATAGCCCAGGCCTGGGACCAAAAGATGGACATCTTATTAATGATATTTCTTCTGAAATGTGGATTGGAAGCTCTTTACAAATTGAGCTCAAAGTGCAGCGAAATGGCAAGTGTAGTCCCATGAATGATTTTGTAGACAGCTTAGCTGGCTACCTTTGTTGGTAACTTTTCCTATTTAGATAAAATTTAAGCTTCCCCGCCAACCAGCACAAGAGTTGGTTTTCATTTAAGTTCTTGGACACTTAGAACAACTATTTTAAATGTTTCTCTAAAATCCCCAGAAACTCTAGGCCTGTCAACTTTCCATTAAATAATGAGATGATTTATTTTTTGGCCGGGTCCTGACTTACTTTGACACACTACTGTGTCATGGGTCCTAGCTCTTTTGTACAAGAAAGTTCACATGAGTACGTCCTGGATGGGGCCAGACTTTCTGTCCCTCTGACATGATCTTAAGAAAGTTTTCTTGCATAACCTCTGCCTTCTACTTAGCGGGATCATCAGGTAACTGGCTTTTGGGAGTCACAGAGATGACACCAGACACCAAATGAACCTTGGTGATGACCTTAAATTTTTATTTGAGCATTAAACATATTCCTATTAATTTGAGCTACTATTTTGAAACTGTTAAAATAATTGAATCACCTAATTAGATGCACTATTATAAGATGTCTATTAATTTGCTTGTTTTATTTGTATATGCAAATTCAGATCTCAGAATGGAGAGACTTTGTCAACAATTTGTAGCTTGCTTTGCTTTAATCTTTTTGGCAAGCTATCAAAATTAACCTCTGACAACAGCACTTTCGCTCCTGGAGGCAGAGACTGGCACTGCCATTGCCTGGGCCCCACGGTTCAGTG